AAAAGAGAGAGAGAGAAATGGGGTTTAACGTCCACTCGACACAAACTAGATCATTTCGGGACTAATATATGGTTTAATTTTTTTATTTCAATAATTCGCTTGAGCGTAGGGGTCTTTAGCAGTGGGAGGAAACCGGAGGACCCGGAGAACCCCCCCCCCCCCGTATGAACCCACCGTACAACGGTCAAAAGTATCAAGAGTGGCCAAACAAATGGCACTGTATATCGACAAAAGTCCGAAATTGTCATAATCGGAACGTTCTGCATACGTATAATATAGAGAGCTATTTTTCAAAGTGACAATATTTGAACTAGGGGTGTTCTACTGTTACCCAATATCTGGCACTGGTATTTGAACTAAGTGTGTTCTACTGTTAACCAATATCTGGCACTGGTGCTTCTAGAGTGAAAATATTTCATATTAGTAAATAACAGTTGCTCCTGAAATTAATATCCCAATTCTTTTGTGTACTTGATGTCATCTCTTTATACAATTTAAAATAAAGCTCCCTGCTGCAGCTATTTATAAGGAAGTCGCCCCTCTATATATATGAAGAAAAGGTGATGTTGATAATTGTGATTTAGGGTTTAAGTTTTTATCTAAGATTTAAAAGACTGTTTTTGTCCCATTCGGAAAACTGTTGGGTTTTTTTTATTCCATTTACAATTCGTGTAGATCTCTGAAACTAACAGATAGAGTTCTGAATATTGATTTTTCCCTTGTTTTTTAGCAATTATTAATTATAACTATCGCGAAAGTTGTGAACAGACCGGAAGTGGTGTAAATCTTTAACGTGCACGAAAATTGAAAACCGGCCCTAATTATGTTGAGATACCATGTCGTTCTCATTTTTTCTTCAAAATTTGAAAATTTACTAAAATTGTTATTTCTTGGAATTTTGAGTTTTCGATTACATATTTGGATTGCCGGCGTCTGTTCGATTCTACCGATCTAGGATTATCATGATGTGAATTGTTCAACTCTATTTTTCAATTCCCTTCTCTAGCGTAATGCGCATGCAAAGAACGGGGGGTGCCGGAGTGGTGGGGATAGTCTTTGTCATGCATCTGGCGACCGTGTGACGCCTTGGCTACGATGAAAGCCTTCAGTCTTGCGAGCAAGTCTAGTTAGGCTTTCAGACTTTTGTCTGAAAGATTATTGTTTTTACTAAAATTATTATTAGGCTTACACCTTTCGGTGAAAGACTATTGTTATTACTAAGATTAATATTATTATTTATTTTTTTATTGGGGGAGCCTATTTCTCAGCAACTATAAGAGATAGAGGTCTGAAGTTTGGTTTTCTCTGGGGAAAATGGGTGGTGGTTAGTGCTTAAATGTAAAACCAAATTTGTGCGCATAACGGAAATGTGTCAAATCTTTAACGTGCGCGCAAATTGAAAATCGGCCACAATTCTGCTAATTCCCAACCGATTTTTCTCATATTTACATTTTTTGATAGCTGGAGACATTTCAGGTGAAAATTGCAAAATTTTCAAAATTTTCTAAAATAAATTATTTCTTGGAATTTTTAAATTCTGATTACAGTTTTGGATATAAATATTTTTCTGCAAAGTTAACTTTGATTTTTCACTTTTTTTCGCATTTTAGTCAAAACGTAGAGATCGTACCCATTTTAAACGGCCCCAACGATTTTTCTGAAACTCCAGGAATAAGAAGGCGAAGGACCAAACTAGTGCTTAAAGCAAAACTGAAAATTGTCTAATCACCGGAAGTAGCCAAGAAAAGGACCCAAACTTTGACAAAATTCAGAAAAATGGGTGCCTGTGCCGAAAATGCGATGTACCGATTGTGTTTTTGTCGATTAGTTAAAGTTTTATATCGTTTAATAGCCAATTGAAATGTCTATTAGATGGTACTCCAGCGACAAGTTTCTATCAAAAAATAAAAAAGTTATGTGACTTTGAAAAGTAAGGTATTTTGCGATTTCGAGCAACTTTAGATGCATGTTTCTCGGAAACGCCCCCAACGATTTTTTAAAAACTTTCTCAATTGAGAGACTAATGGGTTGGCTGTTTTGTGAAAATAATGTATTATTTTTTGAAATGTCAGGGGTAGCCGAAAAAAGAGATCGAAAATCGAAAACGTCGTATTTTTACGATTTTGAACATTTGTAGAGGTCTATTTCTCGAAAAGTCAACATAATATTTTTTTGGAACTTCTTCTACAGAGAGTCCTCTATGTGTTATATATAAAACCATTGTACAACAGTTCCAAATTTCAGGAGTAGCAGAAAAAAGGGATCGAAAATTGAACACGGCACCTTTCATTGTTAAGCGAAACATAAGGGGGGATACAATCTGTACGTTTTGTCAACGGATAGAGCCTATTCAAGAGTGCTTTTATCAGTGATGATATTTGAACTGAAATTATTTCAACTATGAGTGATTTCTTCTATCCAATATATGGGTTTAGAGACCCTGTAACAGAAATAGTTGATTGCTGTGTGTAATAATTAGTCTTTGAATTAATATTGTTGCTTCTTTGTCAAAATTATCTTATAACGGTAATCATCTGGACAGAAATCGACGGCTCACGCTGTTTATAAGAAAGTCCAATTTGTGGAGAGGTTGCAGTAGTATCGTATAGTAGTATCGAATATTGCACCTATGATAGAAGGCATGAAGTTGTTTGAGCATGGACTCTATCTGTAATTAATATTAAATTTTTATATGTTAGTGACGTCAAATCTTTAACCTGCACGAAACCAGAAAATTGGTGATATTTCATTGAATATTCAATCAATTTTTGAACCAGTTACATATTTGAGTAGCTGACATGAACGCGATTCCGAAGTCCCGTGTACACATTGGTGCGACCGTAAAAGATCCCTTGGCCGTTGAAATTCTATATAAAAGTAGACTAGCGCCGCTGTGCGAGCATGCTTAGAGGTCTTTTTCTCAAAACGGCAATCTAATATTTTTGGGGGAACTCCTTCTATAGAGAGCCTAATTGATATATCTGTGTATGAAAAGAGAACCAGAGAAATGGGGTTTAACGTCCACTCGACACAAACTAGATCATTTCGGGACTAACATATGGTTTAATTTTTTTATTTCAATAATTCGCTATCCCGTAGGGGTCTTTAGCAGTGGGAGGAAACCGGAGGACCCGGAGAAAACCCACGAGGTTGGACAAGCTACCCTACTCCTTGTCACGTACAATCGGGGAATCGAAACCCCGCCAGTTGACTCAATGATAGACCGTATGATACAGCGTATGCGCGCCGGCGTGTACCCCCCCCCCTCCTCCTCCTCCTCCTCCTCCCCCCCGTATGAAACCACCGTACAACGGTCAAAAGTATCAAGAGTGGCCAAACAATTGGCACTGTATATGGACAAAAGTCCGAAATGGTCATAATCGGAACGTTCTGCATACGTATAATATGGAGAGCTATTTTTCAAAGTGGCAATATTTGAACTAAGGGTGTTCTACTGTTAACCAATATCTGGCACAGGTATTTGAACTAAGTGTGTTCTACTGTTAACCAACATCTGGCACAGGTATTTGAACTAAGGGTGTTCTACTGTTAACCAATGTCTGGCACTGGTACTTCAATAGTGAAAATATTTCATATTAGTAAATAACAGTTGCTCCTGGAATTAATATCCCAGTTTTTTTGTGTACATGACGTCATCTCTTTATACCATTTAAAATAAAGCTCCCTGCTGCAGCTATTTATAAGGAAGTCGCCCCTCTGTATGTACAAAGAAGAGTTGATGTTGATAATTATGATTAAGGGTTTTAGTTGTTATCTGAGAATTAAAAGACTGTTTTTGTCCCATTCGGAAAACTTTTGGTTTTTTTTATTCCATTTACAATTCGTGTAGATCTCTGAAACTAACAGATAGAGTTCTGAATATTGATTTTTCCCTTGTTTTTAGCAAGTATTACTTATAACTATCGCAAAAGTTGTGAACAGACCGGAAGTGTTGTAAATCTTTAACGTGCACGAAAATTGAAAAATTATCATCTATGGCAAGGTTTGGGGGCATTTGTGTGGAACTTTTCACCACAAGAGTTCCACAAGATACTGGGTTTCTGAAAATAAATACATTCCACAAGACCTTCCCATGTGCCTGTGTGGTACCATATTCCACAAAATTTTCGACTTAGAATAATTTTGATACATTGTTTTTGGTCTGTGGTGTTTTTCACCACAAGAGTTCCACAACATTTTGGACTAGAGTGCCTGTGTGGTAGCACATTTCACAAAATTTTCGACTTAAGAGTGTTTTGGGTCTGTCGTGTTTTTCACCACAAGAGTTTCACAAGATATTGGACTTAGAAAATATACCACAAGAGTTCCACAAGATATTGGACTTAGAACAAAAAATTCTTCTCATACGTCCCTATATGCGTGTTTGGTACCACATTCCACCTGATTCCACAAATGCATTTAGGGTCTATGGTATTTTTCTTCTCAGACCTTCCTATATGCCTTTGTGGTCTGTGGTGTTTTTCACCACAAGAGTTCCACAACATTTTGGACTATGTGCCTGTGTGGTACCACATTCCACAAAATTTTAGACTTAGAATAATTTTGATAGAGTATTTTGATAAAATATCAATTTTTTCAAAAAATTTTCTCAGACACCCCTCTGTGCCTGTGTGGTACCACATTCCACAAAATTTTCGACTTAGAATAATTTTGGTATTTTTCTTTTCAGACCTTCCTATATGCCTTTGTTGTACAAGATCCTTTCCTATGTTTATTTATTTCCTCTTGTACAAAATGATAACAAATTTTCAAATAGTAGTATGTCATTATTATTTAATATCCGACATAAAATATTACACATACATACAAAAGGTGGCAAAAATGTACATATTTACTAAGGCTAATCCATGTTTTATTTAATTTAAGGTGTTTTTCTTTTTTGTTTTTTGATATTATGAAAATAGCATTATTACTGCTGAAAATCAAAATGAAACAGTAAATAATAATAATAATATCAATAATAATGTTTCAGGCGCTGAAAATTCAATTGGCTGCTCTATGGGACTTTACAAATGTTATTACATAAGCTAAACAAAATTATCATACAAACTTAGCGCGTTTCATATCATATTTAATTAAAATTAATTCCGAATTATGGTATATACTTGTTTCTTGAAGGTTCATATATGGCCAGATGTTTGTAAATCATAAAGTAGGTATTTTGGCAGAGAGTATAATCACGAGTTACAGTAATCACCAGACGACGTTGCAATATAAGCGTAAATTCGCAATTTTGTGGTATTAAGGTCCAATAAATCCAATATTGTACTAATGACAGTTTTGCAGATGTTGGACACCTGCAGCTCTGCCAAAATATACACCAAGGTTTCTAACACAATCTTTTGGTCGAATTTATTTTCATAGTATTTTCAAAACTAATTACACAACTGTCTGGAAAGATGAATATAAAGTGCATGGTGTCTAAGACATGGTCAATTTGTTTCACCCAATATATTATTTATCTTTTGTCAACCAATTTGATTGTGGTTAGTCTTTGTTTATTAAAAATTGATGTAAAACTGTCATACAACCCACCCTTCACGCTATCTAAATTGATGAATACATATACTAAATCTACAAAATATAACATATATACATGTCCTTGGCTATCATCTTTCTTAGCTTTATTTCCATCTTATTTTTATTTCTTCAAACATATACAGTGTATACAGACAATTCCGTGCTTGGTTTTATCTTCATTTGCTGATCAATTGGTGCTTAAAAGTCAACTTTATTAATTTTTTTCTTTAAATGTCTTTGAACTATATACTATTCAAAAAAAGTAGGGGATATTTGATTTTGGGGGCATAATACTAAAATATGCAAATGACTACGAAAAAAGTCACTATAGAACCTAACAGAAGAAACATTTCCAGTTACATGTGACGCCCAAACGCACCAATAGCTACCGCATGGAATGCAGGTGATGCTTGGGATCATCATGGGGGTCCAACCCAAGATTTGCACGACTCTGACTTTGAATGTTACAGTCATTGTGGCATTGAATTCCAGGGTGGAAACATCAGTTTAATTGTTTTAGTGACCAGAAAACAAATTTTGATATGCGTCGGCTTACCCAAAATGAAAGGTTACGTGCCCTTGGCATGCTACAGATCGGCACAACACAGGCGGTTGTGGCGCGGACGATGAATGTTTCTCAGTCTGTCATAAGCAGGCTATGGTCCAGATACCGTGATACACAATCTGTACAGGACAGACCACGCTCAGGTCGACCAAGGGCGACAACTCAAGCCCAGGATCGATTTATCCGTACCTTGGCCTTGAGAAATCGTGTCATCACAGCAAATCAGATCAGCGCTCGTCTTCAAACAGACACTGGTGTGAGAGTGAGTGGCCAGACGATTCGGAATCGACTGCATAGGGGTCACCTTCGCGCCCGACGTCCTCGCGTGATCCCTTGTTTGAGAGATCATCACATTCAGGCAAGACGTCGTTGGTGTAGGGATCGTCAACACTGGGATAATCGACGCTGGAGCAATGTGATGTTTTCAGATGAGTCAAGGTTCACTGTTGTTTTTTTGGACAGACGTAGGATGGTGTGGCGTCGTCGAAACGAGCGCTTCCAAGACGTTAACGTCATCAGACATGATCGATTTGGGGGTGGTTCTGTTATGGTGTGGTGAGGCATCACTGTTGCTGGAAGAACGGCTTTACATGTTGTTGCAGGGCGTGTTACAGGCCAGTACTACCGGGACAACATCTTGGCAGTCCATGTTGTGCCGTTCGCACGACGTCATGGCCGCCGTTTCATCTTCCAGGATGACAACGCAAGATGTCACAGGGCCAGGATCGTTACAGGTTACCTCCAACAACAGAACATCACCACATTACCTTGGCCAGCACTGAGTCCCGACCTCTCCCCCATCGAGCATGTCTGGGACATGCTTGGACAGAGGTTACGTCAACGTCAACAACGTCCTGCCAATGTCCAAGAACTTGCTGCTGCGTTGCAACAGGAATGGGACAATCTGGACCAAAATGACCTTAGACGTCTCATTAGGAGTATGACACGTCGGATCAATGCTTGTTTGGCAAACAGAGGAGGATTTACCCGTTACTGACTTGGTTGTGATGCTGTGGTAACTTTGCTGTTTGACCCCGGGTATCATTTTACCCTTATAATGGTCAGTCTGTGCCTTACTTAGTCTAACGATCATTTGGAATAAATCGATGAATGTGAACTTCATTTCATTCTGTCATTTGTTTCTTCGTCAGTTTCATTAGGTGACTTTAATAACACTTAAAAATCAAATATCCCCTACTTTTTTTGAATAGTATATAACATATGTACAAATTTCGTGCTTGGGTGCTTCGTTTCTTTTTTATTTATTTCTTTGAATGCCTTGACCGCAGTCGCATTTTCATGGGTGTAATTTTCTAAAATAAATATGAAAGCAATAGTAAATGTACTACACAATAAATAAAATAACACAATGTTTATGATTTGTTATTTTTAGAGAAAGACTGAGAGAGACTCAACACAATCTAGGTCTTTTCTGGACTACATACATAAACGTACAAGGTACCTTCAAAGAAAAACACACAATGTAGGCAGTCTCTATATCACGTTCAATATATAAATAGAAACTATATACTCTATAAATATTTTTTTTACATTTTTTCTTGCTGTTTCCTTAATTTTGTGTACCGTGTCTCGAACACCTAAAACGATTATACCACCATCATTAATGTAGAAGGTCAGAAAGGAAAACAATATTTAGTTCTTGGACATACATACAATGTTACGTCTTTGACCCTATTCATATTATATTTATCTTTTCTGTTGTTTAATAAGTTTTAAAATGCCATAAAGTTATCAAATCATGTTACCTTTATTTCCATTCTCCACCGCACGTACCTGCAATGCTTCCAAAATCTGCAAAAAGAAGAGAGAGAGAGAAATGGGGTTTAACGTCCACTCGACACAAACTAGGTCATTTCGGGACTAACATATGGTTTAATTTTATTTCAATATTTCGCTTGCGCGTAGGGGTCTTTAGCAGTGGGAGGAAACCGGAGGACCCGGAGAAAACCCACGAGGTTGGACTGCAAAAAGAAGTATGATATTATTATGCCTATATTAAATGCTAGAGAAAGACTTGGAAACACCGAAAATATAGCGCACTATTCTTTAACCATGCATTATGCCAAGGTCTTGCTTTGTTATTATATATATTAATTGGATTTTAATTAACTTTACCAGACTATAATGAACTCTCGATGTCACCGTTAGCCTGCGCTATTTACTGGATTTGAATACATTTTGTGATGGATAATTTAACGTAAAAATGGATAATCTAGACTTGATTATCATACCAACTTTAGTAATGACGACCGAGTGAAGTAATTTGACTAAAATTGTCAGCTCTTTATCTTGATTGTGTTTGTTTGATATGGGTGCTACTTATCATTTGTATAAAAGTTCTGTATAGTTCTTTGAAAATACAGATTGTGATGTTTTTTTGTAAATATTCGGTTAAACATACCATATCGATAATAATCAATAACTACACTTTAAAAAAAGGAAAAGTGTTACTGATACCTGTTCGTGAATAATTGGTGGTATTTCCTCTACATCTACCCCACGAATATGCCCATCATCTGTGGTGGTGTGTACATTATCATCTACCCCATGAATATGCCCATCATCTGTGGTGGTGTGTAGATTATCTGGTGTGTGTTGCTGTAAATACATTACACATTTTTAAACATACATTATGCAAGAGCTTAATCTGGCTATTGAAGGTCTTTCTTTAGGTCTGAAATACATCTAACTTATTATTTGTACATTAATTATCCGGACCACAATCAACTCCCGATGTCATCGCTAGCCTACGAAATTTAGCGGATTTGAATACATTTTGTGAATGATACTTAAAAAATGAATAATAGGGCTTTTTAAGGTACCGATTTTAATAATGATGAGAGAATTTAATTCCGGAACGTTCAATGGAGTATCCCCTTAATGTTTGAGATGCATTTACAATTAAGCGGTATGAATTATTGTTTGCACTATTGGATCATATACATTAGCTGTATAACATAAGTAAGATCGGGGTTCATCATCATATTATAACAATGTTTGACAGTATTTACTCAAATTATACGAGTAAGCGTATTTACCTCCGTGTCTGAACACGAACAGTCGCTGCTGCTGTTGTTGCTGCTGCTGCTGATGTCTGTGCGCTCAAATTGTGAAGGCATTGTCTGTAAAATCATATTAGAAATATACTATTGTTGTACTGTGTTAAATAATTTTCAGGTGCATTTACAATTAAGCGTCAGTGTGCTTCAGAAATGAATTATCATCGACACTGTACGTTATCATACTTTAGCAATAATAATATAATATAATCTTATGCTTGACACCAAATTTAAAAAATGAATCTGTCAAACACTCTAGCTTTTATCGCGATCAGAAGCCAATTGCTGATGTACAGACTACGCCCAAACTGAAATTATATGAGTAAGGTGTTTACCTCTGTGTCTGAACTTGAGATTGAGCATTCACTGCTGCTGCTGCTGCTTCTGCTGTGTTCAACGTATGTAGGCGCTACCTGTAAAAATATACAAGGGTATTATTAATATATCCCCTTTTTGCACAAATCTGTCTTTCGTTTCATGGTTGTCGTTTTATTTAAATTGAAAAAAAATTATAACCTATTTACTTACAAATTGATCTGTAGCATTCATTTCGATATCATTCTCCTGTAAGAAATATTATACTAATGTGATTTTTGGTAAATAAAAAAAACCTCTTTAAATTGTGTGTACTAGAAGCTAGTAGATGACCACAATATTTGATACGCTCTTGTCAATTCCTGCATACGATCTACAGGTTAAAGGTTGGATGATTGTGTAAGGTGCACAACGACAAAATAATTAATGTGCTCACTGAAAGCTTATCTGTATTTCCATAAGCCCAAAAACTGAAATATATAAATAATGCACATATAAGTTGCTATAGACAGCGATTTCGTGACTGTAATTTCGAGGAGTGGGTCAGATTGCCCCAAATCATGAGTGGACGGTTGCATGCCACGACAATTTGCTGAATGTCTGAGGATTGGTGGAGTAATTACTCATTATTAAGACAAAAAACAAAAACGTCCATTTTCAGATAAGCAGCCCATATGAACTGTTTATGTTCATGTGTAGGCAATGGGCCTGTTAACATACACTGGTTACCTCTAATAAAAACAGCAGTGCATTTCCGCAGTTTTGTATTGTTTCTGGATATCCCCTACTTTTTTTGAAAAGTATATATAATTATTATTCTTTATTGTTACCAAGTAACCTCTAGTATAGAGAAGAGGTTGTAGAAGAAGGGAGTTGACCACAGGTAGACAGGAGGACATATTAATTTACCTAGTCTGTGGGTCATTATTGTATATATATATTATTATTGTTGTGTGTTGCCAAATATATAGAAGTATACAAAGAAGAAGTAAGCTGTTCAATATTTGCATGTTCAATCTTAAACCCCCAACTAGGTTGAACATACAATCCATCGTCCGAGGTTGGACTGATAAGCAGGTCCATTAAACCCCGCATGATATTACTTTGGAGATGGCAATAAGTGAATCAAAGACTGCCTCCAATGGCAATAAATGCTTTCACGACATAACATACTGATCATGATTCAAGAGAACATATAATACCCAAAAGGGCATGTTCGTTTTACAGAATAAAATCTTAAGTTACCTCTGTCGACATCATTTAAAAGAGTCGCCGGCAAACAGTCTCGTCTAATCAAAAGGGCTGAACAACAATGGTTTCTGGGGTTACCAAACCATCCTTGACTTCGGACCATATTGTCACTTCCCAGGGACATTATCTCTTGGCATATGTTGTCAACCTGTTTTTTACATAACTCACTATCATCACCATCGGTTATAAGATTTATGAGTGGTTTAACCCGAATAGCAATAACAGTGGTTGTTGAGTTACCAGTTGTTGATGATAATTTCTTTGTAGTCATTTTCGGGTTGATGATATTTTCTACCTATTGTAAAGTTAAAAGGGTGTTATGTAAGCGTAGATAAAGGGCTGGCATAATAGTTAAATAATAGATAACGTAAAGAGATTATGCTGAATTTCAAAAACCATGTAGCCTCGATTATCATTGCTCCTGTTGTTACGATAATAAACAAGGTCTCGATCAGCCATTTTTACTTTTAATCATGAACAGTCATTGCATCACAGATCTGATTCAAATATGTTTAACATCGTACCCAACATATAGCATCGAGAGTTGGTTATGGTTGTGTGATGTTAATAAATGTCTAATTAATAGTTTATATAACATTTAAGGACAAAACATGACATGCAAAAGGAAGAGTTAGCTCTTGCTTAATGTATGTTTAAAATGTATTCATAATTTTATAGATTCAAAAGAAATCACAGAAACCTTTCCTAATGTTTAACACAAAGTCTGTAATTTTAGAAAAAGTAATCATACCTTGTCCTTTGGTAACTCTAATGCGTGCTTTAATGACGCCACAAACGAGCTTTCTGCCAATCCTAGTGACGTATTCTGGTATACTAGGGCACCATGCGGTATGATGAATTTAGTCATGTGCTCTAGTGATGTATCCATTGGGATATCCAATTCTACAGCTTCAATGAACTGTAATTGAAATAAAACATTATAAATATGTACTGATACTGTGAATAAATAATCATAAATCAAAAATATAGTACGATAAATAGTTACATCTGTTGGTGTAATAACTATATAAATAATTACCATATCCGTCAAAACAAGCAAACAGCCATAATTTCCTGCCAAACGGTCAGCTATGTCCTTTGGGAGGGATCCCAATGACTCAAGCAGTCTGGGTTTGATTGCTTGAAATCGTAGCCAACCTTCCTTCTGGATCAAATCGCCCAACGCTATTAAGGAACCTAAAATATAAGATCATGCTTTGTTATGTATACACATTAAGTATATACCTGGTGTTAGTCCATTATCAAATCAAACACTTTGATATATGACAATATTGTTGGTATTATGACCCTTTTGGATAGATTTAAATAAAGTTGACCACTTTAAACACATTAATGCATGGCTGATTGTGACTTACCAACAGAACCAATGGCCTTATTCATTCTCGAATTTAAAGCTCCACCATTGATGTTCTGTTGACTGGCTGTGGTTGGCAGGATTGTTAAGCGTGAAATCTCTCTAAGTCTACAATTTATAAATTTTATTTAACATTCAGTCATATTAATACAATATTGATTCCTGTACATACGGATAACATTTATTCACGGTATTTTGTACAATAGAATGAGAAGGGGAAACAATATATTTAATAGAAACAGTGTATCTCAATCTCACATATGGTGCCTTTGAATACTGCATGATGTCAACGTTCTCTCTTCCTATATATATTTTACAACTGAACACCACAATAGATCACCTAACTTCATAACAAATAAAATGGTAAAGCATACCCGTGTTCTTTCTTCAGTTCTGTCATTAGAAAAGGATTTGCCGTCACCAGTGGACAAGTCTGTGGATATCGACTTTTCTTGCAATTAGATAATATCCCCTTCTCGTATGTCTGTAAAATACGAAATGTGCAATACAAATTAGACACTTAAATAAAAGGTAGTAGCCAATACGGTATATATCACACTATGGAAACAGAATTATGATCAAAATCTGTGATAACCCTCGATATCTAGTGGTTGCAACACTAGCAACAGGAAAGGCATGACAGCATGGTTGTAATTGTTTCATTTTCATATCAATTACTATGTTATACACTGGATGAGGAATATATTTCTTATGTCTTCTTTCTGATTCCATAAAATGGTGGTTTTGCTTACGTGTTTACAATCTGATATTTAACTAACCTTCATTATAAGCTCTTTAATCTCTGAACTGTGTCCTGGATAGTTGTAGACAAAGGCTAAAGTTTCGGACAGCAGTTCATCAATTTTTGCATCTGTAATCGTCTTGAAAATAGCTGTTTTGTGTAAATGTAGGAGACTGAGCCCAATCTTTGATAACAACGACTTCCCGGTGTTGATCCCACCTACCAAGACTGTCATCGGGCACCTACTGAATGTTTCTAATATTCTTTCATAATGAATTGCCATCAACATAGAGCCTACAAGTCATATATTCATATATTGTCATAGTCATAGTATTTAAAATGTTTATCCAGAGTTATAAAAATCGTTTTTAGACATTTGAATATAAAATTGAATATATAAATCCACAACGTTCTAAAATAATTCGAGTTGGATTAACCGACAATTGAAATATCCCATTCCATTATATTAAAGATTAACGTAATATACTTAAACATGAACCCACCTGCAACAAACAATGAAGTGAAATAGGTAGTATTGTCTAAGATACACCTCAACTCTACAAACATTTTCCTAGCTGCGTTTCGCTTCGTCTGAAAATCATTTTCTACCATTGCTTTACTATCTACAAATTCTGGTAGGACGATAAAGGTTCTTTCGTTTCTTGGTAAAATGATCCCCTTACTTGTCACCTATGTGCTGAAGCCCATGATGTAGGTTCCATCGGTCCAACCAAGTCTACTTACAGCATGTACATGAATAGGTCCAAGCAACTCTACATCGTGCGAGCTATAATAAAATTAGCAAAAATAGACATCAGAAAGAGCACTACAACGTATCAAAACAGTTGCGTCTTCTTGTTGAATATAAACCTAATATGACAACCAAGATTCTGCGCTAATGATAATGGATGGGAATATATATCTAAAATATTGATATAGTACGCATCATATGATACATCAAGTGTTACCATGATATGGATTACCAGGTTGTGACCTACATGATTTAAAATTTGTTCTCACCTCTTAAACAACTGGATCTGTTCATCTAGGAATTGTTTAAGTTCACTAGAATTGTTGAAATTTGTTAGCAGTGGGTCCATATTTGGGATGCCAGCGGCAAGTGCATTCCGCAGTCTGTCCTGGTTTGTAGTCTCACAAGCCGGAATATAGCAGCACCTATTTGATGTAGAAAAAGTTTTAACATCAGTTTATAAATTCTGCCATTTGAAATCCGGGACTGTAAAAAATGAAATCCCTCGCAAATAGCGGTAGATGAAAAAGAGTGTGTTGAACATAATTGATATGTAAAAGAGTCGGTGAATTTTTAGGAACATGTTTTGACATAATTTCATCGATAATAATGACACTATTAGGCCTGATGCAATAAACGATCTATCACGTCTATTTGGTACTACACTTAGATGTTAAAAAATCAAAAGTTACTGATACGAATCACGAAAATGGCACTTACCCTGATCCACCGGCAGGATCTGAATGTACAACTCTCATAATAAAACCACTGTAATTATCAGTTGAACTTTTGGATCGGATGATTCTATCTATTTTAAGAATAAAATTCATACACCAAGTATAATTTACTTCTTTCTGTCCCTTTGCAGTTTTCCTTCCCATCTGTATTCTACCATCTTTTTGCCGGAAAACAACATTGGAAGGCATCTATAAGAAATAAGATACATTAAGTAACCACTTAAGCTGTTTATCTGTGTTAAACAGTATTAAATTCTGTTGATCTTTGTATGCTTATTGTTCCAGCTGTGAAAGGAACTTAATAATATTTTCAATTGCACTGGTAAATAGTACAGTATTTTAGATACACTCTTATTATTTTATGGATAATCTTAAATTAGTTTCAA